AGAAAATAATAATTTAAAAAAATTATTCTGAATATGTTTAGTTTTTAAATTAGAAAATACTTATATTAAGTTCCTTACATTTATTATATCAAGTTCTCCAATCACATGTGTCTATGTATGTTATTAACCTACATGAAAAAATAAGATACATTGAAAAATTTGTCATAAGGAATATAAAAAACTTGACCAAAGTAATTGTCTTATTAAATTCATTTCCTTTGAATAATTATTAACAATATCCATAATTATGATTTTCTTACTATTAAAATATCTATTCATAATAATATTCGTAAGTAATCTTTATTCTGCACTACGTTTGCTTGAAAAGAGAAAATAGAACAAGGAAAATAAAAGGAATAACTCGAAAACCTTACTCATAAGATTTGGAATTTTTTCTTACTAAATTTGGGGTATCACTGTTAATCCATGATTTTTATTCGTAAGCTTTCTATTATAAGATGAACATGAAATTTTATAGTAACATAAATGAAGAAACCCATTCCATATAATTGCAGAATGTGAAACTTACTTAAAGGAAAAACGTTCCAATTAAATAGGTATTCTTTTGCCAAAGCAATTAGATAGGTGTTACTCCTCCAGTCTTAAATATAAAACCTATTTTGTAGTATAAATTAAACTACAAAACGAGTCTTATATTTAGAACCGAAAGACTAATATTTATCTTTATATATTAATAACTTCTTCTACTATAACTTGATATTATAATTACCGCTGTACTTATATTATGCATGGTTACTAGGGAAATAAATAAATAGGTCCATAAATAACACCAACAAATTTAGCTTTCATGGTAAATACATGAGGATTTAATTTGAAGGTTCTGAGCTCGACACCAAGAAAAAAGAATGAGGTACTTCAAAGTACCTCTTTTTTTAAATATCAAAGGTATTATAAACTTCTCATAATTCATGGCTGCTTATAAAATCAAATTAAAGAAATCACTCCCTTCAAATATTAGTATATTACTTCATATCACATATAATTTTAAAGCTTTGTTCCCATTTTCCCTTGCCACTCCCATCCTCAATCCTTTAAAATTCAAACCCACGTAACAAATAGGAATGTGATTTGATTAGCGAATCAATAAACTAATCTCTTAACGAGTTGAATGGAAAGTTTTTAACAAACTAGATTTTATACATTTTTTCCTTTTATTAGACATAAAAAATAGTAATTGAACTATAAATAAATTTTATATTATTTTCAATTCTAATTATAAGACAAGATGGTATTATCTTTAAAGGATAAAATTTAACCTTGATGTATTGGACAGGGCCTGTTTTCTTATTCAATTTATCATTAATGAGAGCCTGAGGTATAATTGGGCCTGACTTAAACTGAATAAACGTGACAGGTTAATCAATTTAATAATGTGGACACTTCATTACCAAAAAAAAAAAATAATAATGTGGACACTAGGCCATCGCTGGCGCATCGGTCTTCATGGTGAGTCACAGGTTGTTGGTGACTTGAGGGAGAACACAAATAGATTACTCTCGCGTGTTTTAATGTGTTTTGACTAAAATACTTATAAGCCCATCAATTTTAGCTCTATTGCATATAATTCTCCTGGATTTTAAAAAGTTTAAAATCGCATCCTCAATGCGCCGATGTTAATGTTCAATCTCTTGCTGTTAAAAAGACCATTAGATGTAATACTATCTTCGGTCTTAATTATAAAATCTCGTTTAGTATATGATATTTAATTTTTATTATATTATATTACTACTTCCGGTCCTTATACATACCAAATCAAGTTATTGTTTATCATTTGGTATATGATATGTAATTTTTATTATATTACTACTTCTGATCCTTAATATAAGAGCTAGTTTAACTTTTAATTTAATCCTAAATATAAGACCCTAATCTATCTTGTTTTTCATATTTATCTATTTTTTTTAATTTAGTCTTTGTAGTAGTTATACAGATTAAATATTTTATCAAATGGTAGTTGAAGGTAATACACATGATTAATAAGAGTGTTTTAGAGAAAACAATATATATTTATTACAAGCATCTAACTTAACAAACTTTCTTATATCTAATTTAACAAACTTTCTTAATTTACTCAAATTAGTCAACTAGCTTTTATATTAAGAATCGGAGGAAGTATTTATTTGTTCTGGCAAAGGACATTTATTATATTAAGCACTTGTTCACACTGCTAACTCCCACATATTGGGTAGGAATTGGGCTCCCTAAAGGCCCAGGCCCATATAAGTCCAGACTGATTGTTTTCTAACATTTGGAGACTTGCCCACCCATGCAGCTCGGTTTCATCATTCGAAAATGTGGCAGACTAGAAGCAGAACAAAATTTACTCAGTTTTGATTCCTTGATTACTAGAAGCAGCTCGGTTTTCAAAATGTTATTAATACCAGCAGTATAAGGAGAAGGATTAGTTTTTGATTCCTTGATTATGACTTATTTTGGGATTAAAGGATAAAATATTACTCAATGTAGGATTTTCATTTTGGATTAAAAGGTATAGGTGAAATTAAATTTACGACATTCCACTTATAGCAAAATATTCATACTAATAAATTATGAGGCTATCTTAAATATTTGAATAAAATTGCTAGTAATCAAAGTGCAAGTGATCTGGGAAAAAAAGTTTGTAGAAATGAAAGAACTGCTGGACAAACTTTGAGACAGAATAGGTTTTTTAAAAAGTTGACATGCACTGAAAAAGAAAACGGGTTAGCTGTATGCATAGTGTCTGCATTGTAATGACAAAATGGCTTATAAATTATAATATAAAATTAGGGGTGGTAAGGTTTTTTTTCCCCAAAAAAATTGTAGAATTCAAATTGGTTCAAGAAGACTAATTTGACATCATGCAAATTGGAGTTATTGATTTAGGACTTTGAAATTTTGAAGGTATTTATATGGGATTTTCCCTCTAGAATACTTTATTTATAGTTTTTTATCTTAGCTCGCCATACTAGTATTTAACCTTGAGACCTCAAAGATGATGCTTTTTGCAAGTTAGCTGAAATTGTTTATTAAACTTAAATTCAAGATTAAAGATGTTTGTTTTTAATTGACGTTAAAAAAAACATAAAAGCTTCTAATTTATGTAATAATGAATTGATTCGCAAAATGTTTCATTAAAAAGAATTACAAATTTTAGTATGTTTTGATATGGGACAAAAGGAGTCTATAATCACAGTGTATATATCGATTTGTATATAAAAAATAAATCCATTTAATTAGCTAAATTGGAAGCCAATCAATTAATAATGTAAGAACGCAATTTTTTTATTTTAACTTGAGAAAATCATATAATGATCCTGATAGAAGTTAAAGCTACTAACAATTTCAATGACAAAAAGACTTAGTTACTTACACTTGCATTTGATCAAATTAGAATAGTAAATTTTAAAGTGTTAACGATAGTAATAGTAAGAGTTTTTAGAATAGATTTGGGCTTTTATGCGGAGAAAATGAAGCCAACAGAATAAATTTTTATACTAACGTAAAAGCTAAAACTTTAAACTTATAAGTTACACAATAGGATAAACACTTTTTCTTAAAAGCTGACATAAAGTTAAAGCTCATGATTCATATAAAACAAAATCTAAAACTCGAGATTCATATAAGAAGACAGATGCACTTGAAAGGGGAATATTTTAGAGTATCGCCAGTGTTTAATTTTTTTTTAAATTGAAAAATGAAAGAAAAAGGAGGTATTTTAGAATACCTCGTTTCTCTTCTTCCCCTCTCCTTCTTCTCTACCGGGGATCGAACTGGCGACCTGCAAGGCAGCTTCGAACATCAAAGCTAAACCGCGAGGCCGACAATCACCGGTGCGCCTCCCTCTTTTTCAAATTTATGTTACCATTTATTGACACTGCCACATGTTTTTCGTGAGGTCAATACATGCGAAGTGAATATGGGCTCAAAATGGGCAGGCCCATAAAGTATGGCCCAACTGTTTTCTCTTGACTTTTTGCCAGCGACTGTTTTCTCTTGACTGATTAGACTCTTTATGCTCTATAGAGTGACGGTGGATATGTAAATATATATTACTTCATGTCCTAATTATAAAAGTTAGTTGATTAATTTGAGGAGATTAAGAAAAAAAGTTAAGTTAGTTATTTGTAATAAATAGGTGTTGTCTTTCCTAAAATATCCCTGCTAATCAAGTGTATTGGTTATAAATACTATTATTAGAAGAATTTTCTTGAAAAAAATGCATAAATTTGAGAGATAAAGTGGATTAGAGTCTTATATTTAGGACTAAAATATAAATCAAATAAGGTTTTATATTAAGAATCGAAATAGTATAATATATCTATAAAATAAAAAGAGATATAAATATCACAGACAAAGGTGTTTGGCAGGTGACGTTTAATTTGGTGGGGCTTTGACTTAGCCAAATTAATGAACCAATTATGCCAAAGTCAAGAGGAGTAGGGAAGCGAAGTCATCCACGTGCTACCTTCATGAATGCAATGAATTAAATCATCTTTGAATTTATTTTAAGAGGCATTGAATTTTAAAGGCGGTTTCCATTTTTAGTCTTCAGTGTGTGCGACTTCAGAGAGGCTGCCGTTACAATTAGCTATGGGGGACCGCAACTTATTGCCGGATTCATATATTTGATTGATTCCAGTTCAATTTTGAGGAGGAAAAAAAATCAAATCCAATAAAATTAATTAGTTTGGCAGAATTTTGAACATTTTTGGTTCTAGATGTTAAATTAGGTTCTGTTCAATTTTTAATACTTATTTTTGTAAGATTGGTTTAATTTTCGTCATATCAAAAATGTTTTTTCCAAGGATAAAAAAACCAGACCAGACCGAACTGACAGGTTCAACCAGAAAATCAGTGAACCGGTCTGTAATCAGGTCTGATTTAATTGGTAAACCGGTGATCAATCGAACCAGTAAAAAACCGGTTCAACCGGTGGTAACCAATATAGAACTGGGTAATCCCGTTGGCTGGGTTACCCAGTTCTTTTTTTTTTTTTTTTAACTTCCATCATTCCCATGTCGAGCATTATCGACCCGCTTCATCAAGTAATCTGACAATAGAGGAAATGACACGTCCACCCACAAGAAGCAGCACTCATATCTCAACTCCGATGAGATCAAACTCGATGGCAACGACCAATCAAATACATTTATCTGGGGGTCGAATCGGTCTGCAAGTAGAGCAAGAACGAATGAGTTAGACCCACCAACAACAATGGGAATCTTCCTCCTGGAAGTATTGTCGGAGATGACAGAGCCAACACGCAAGCAAAAATCTAAAGGCATAAACTCTCCATTTTGTGGGTCGACATCGCCGAGAAGATGATGAGGGACGCCTTTGCGCTCGTCAATAGGGATCTTATTGGTGGTGATATCAAGGCCTCTGTAAAATTCCATTTTATCTAAGTTTATATTTATATATAAACTAGCCTGCTGGTTCTCTGCATCGTTATATGTCAGCTTCTTCGGGTCCAACTCGACAGGAACCAAAGTTGGGATCACGATTAAGCTCAAAGAAGAGAAGAAAGCCACATAGAACAGGTCCGCCTCCTCAATGGTGTTTCAGTTATACTACCTCCAGTCCTAATTATAAGAGCTAGTTGACTAATTTAAGGAGATTAAGAAAATAAGTTAAGTTAGTTATTTGTAATAAATAAGTGTTGTCTTTCCTAAAATATCCTTACTAATCAAGTGTATTGGCTAGAACTACCATTATTAGAAGGATTATCTTGGAAAAAAATGCATGAATATGGGAGACAAAGTATATTAGGACCTTATATTTAGGACCAAAATAAAAGTCAAACAAGGTCTCATATTAAAGACTAGAGGTAGTATTTCTTTTCCAAAGAAATCTCCTCCGTAGAATGATTTCTATACTTGCAAATCAATACGACAATGATGCTAAGCTATTAAATGGGACCCACAAGTCTCATGTTCATTCAGCCAGTGGGGTAATTTTATGGCTTCTTATCTTTTTTCAGTAATTATTATTTATGAATTTTGTTTTATTTTAATACAGTAAATTAAATTATATTATTTTCATATGACCGGTCGACCCCGATCCAACCAGTAACCCTTGACCAATCGTCTCGACTTGTTTAATTCCCGGTCTGATTTTTTGTTCTTTGGTTTTTTCTTGCTATCAAAGGCGTTCACGCTGTGGGACAATTATTTTGTCTTATATTTAGTGTCATTGCAAAGACGTCATGTCCCATTTGGGATGGGACGGGGACATTTTACCTAATTTTTTTGAATTTTTCACTTCAAAATTTTTTAATTTTTTATTTCAAAATTAACCTGACGTGGTTCGGTTTGGTCAAGTTTAATCCAAATAAATTATATAATTGGACTAGATCAGTTGGTTGGTTTGGACTAAATTCCATACTAAGTGATTGCACCATCTAGACTAGTTCAGTTAGGTTTGGGTGAATTTTTTATTTTTTCATAATTTGTATTTTAAATGTTACATTTCATTGTTTTTAGCATTGTTAGAGATTCTTATGTATTTATGATATTTAAATATGAGTTTTATATAATTATAGGTATTTTTTATTGTCTTAATATTGTATTTATCATCTTCAAATCTTGCTTCCCATTAAAAATTAAAAAAAATTGGAGTTCTGGAGTTCCTGAACTAGTCTACCAGCCTGGTGGTGCAAATCCAGTCCAATCTAACCTCGAATTACTACTCGATTGAATTAGACCAGAGGCTGCTAAATCTAGCTTGACCAAACTTCAAGTTAAGCTCTCGTCCGGTTTGTCTATTGTTATGCAGCTCTACACGAAGGGATATGGACCCAAAAAATGGTTAACTCATTGAAAGATGTAAAAATCTTGTAAGATTTTTTCAATATATTCTTATTAAAAATTAAAGCTTGTATATATAGATTAAAAGATTAATGTACAAATTTGTCTAAAAAATTTTCGGCTTGTGCATTCAAAAATCTTTTTGGGATCCGTAGTTTGATTCAAACCAAATTAGATTTGAAACAAACCAAATCAAATGATCATATTCGTATTCGTTTTAGTTCGATCTCTTTCCATTTGTTCAATTTTGAACAAGGCCTTGCGCGCCAGCACATACATACTTAGAGCCACATTTCAATATTACTCTGTTTGCATTATCATAGATAATTCTATCAAATACAAATCACATTCATTCTTTCCATTTCCTTTATGAGTTTGGGACAATTATGGCCGAATGAATGAATCAAGAATCTGTGGTCTTATCATATCTTACGTAACATTGAATCCTTTTTAATTTTCTTTAGCAAGTTTGTTTATGAATCTGGGCAAAGTCGGTGAGGTTTTTAGTTGTGTCCTAAACCTAACTTTGCCCAAAATTAAGCAACAAATTAAATTAGTACATCTCGTGTTTCATAGCATCCATTATCCATATTTATATATTCCTGCATACGGATCTTCTAAAACCAAATAAAAATATTAAGATAGATACTTATCCTAAATTCCTAATCTAATCTTGACATGGTTGAGATCCTTGTAATTGAATCAAGAAATAATGTTTTTTTTTATTTTAAACCTAACGGGCCTTCCAGAATCTAGACTTTATTTTTTCAAAATACCTCTCAATTTTGTAACAATAATTACAACTTAAATGCTGGCCTTATAATTCTACATTAAACAAAAGTTGCTATGTACAGATTATAAATGGATGAAAAGTATTTAATTGAAAATTTTATTGATTAAAAATATTTGATGTGTTTTTGTATATAGAGTATTGATAACTCTACATTATGTCATGTACAGAAAGTATTAGTCTCTGAATTCTCAGGTAAAAAAAAAAAAAAGTCTCTGAATTCACCCATTTCCCCAATCGTAGGACTTCTTAATTATTTACAAATATTTTGTAGGATTCAAATTAAAAATAAAATAAAATAAAATGAAGACCCAAGTCACACATTTTAAGAGGAGACCAAAAGTTTTGTTTAGAATCTTAAAAGGAGCATTACAAATGAGATCATAAGTAAGAAAAATAATTACTAAAAAGTTTTAATAACAATTTAAGTAATTTCTAATAATGAGTTTTAAAATAAAAATAACAATTTTTAAATTTTATTTTGTAATTATATTTTTTTGACCTCGTTGTAATTTTTCGTATCTAAAGCAACGTTGCAAACCTGTGAGGCAGTGATCTTCCCGGGGATAAAATCTCCAGGCATGTAAGCGACGGGCACGTGGCACCTAGGGGACTGGGACCAAACTTCAAAAAATGACTTGTGTCTAGGATCAAAAGTAGCATATGTTATCGTGTTGCTCTGTATCTATGTCAGAATCTGCGCTCTTTAGGTCAAGGGAGAATAGGCTCAAATTTGGCATAAAATCATACACAATAAGTCTTTCTCGCGCTTCAGCACAATAGCCACGTAGGCTAAGAAGATTCTTGTGTCTTACTCTGGCCAGAATCTCAACTTCGGCAGCAAATTCCATATCTGCTTTGTTACTCCAAACTTTTAATCTTTTCACTACAATCTGGAGATGTACACGGATTATATAAGGGTACAAAGTGACAAGAAGACACTCCACAGAGAACTCTGAAAAAGGAGAGAATTAACAAAACTATGATGTTCTATTATCTACATATTCCAAAATAGCTTCATTATCACAGGTACCAGAGAAATTAAAAGCATTAGCAACTCGTGACTTTTTTTTTTGGGTTGGCCATAGCAACTTGTGATTTTATTTTGTTGGGGCAGATACCACGTTATGACCTTATCCAACAACCCTACAGATCTGTCCTCCAGGGAACAGAAACAAGAGTTATTCTTTTGCGGGATAAAAGCACTAGAACAAGCAAATCATTTAGGTTCACTAACAGATATTGATATGAGATAGCCAACTGAAAGTCACATTAAAAATATAGTATGGATCTACATGGCTTTAAAATAGACATCTCTTAGCAGAAGAAAAGAACATCAATGGCAGAAAGCAGTTTGATCAGTAATACTTCTGTGCAAAATAAATTACCACAACTAGTCACATTTAGGATGATGAGATAGAGCACAACCATAAACTAAAGCTGATTTTATAGCATGAAACAAAGAATTGAAGAGGAAGTATTTAACTCCAAGCTTGTTATCGTAGTTAAAATTGTTTGTTGCTGGGTGTAGAAGATCCATTTATACCTGATAATTATGGTTTTTCGGGTGCAACCAGTGAGAATTTCAAATTTGATAAGTTTTCCTTTGGTATTGTGTCTAAGAATAGTGAAAATTTTGTGTTTTGATCAGATCAGTTATATTGCATATTTTAATAAGAAATGATTTGGGTTTAGCTAACTAAATTTAAAACACGTAAAATTTTCAGCTATAACTTGCAGTCAAATAAATAAGATCGCACTTCATCAGTTGATCGAGATCTAACTTTGTTGGGACAATTCAAAGTGGTCTCACTTCTTTTAGGCAAAATTTACCAATAACTAGGGGAAGGGCAATAGAAGCTCAGAAATAAGAATCACAATAAAGGGCAATAGGTATATGTCAGATTTGAGAATATATAACAGAAGATTATATTATGAATTGAAAGGACAAGAGGAGCTATTTCCTAGGAAGTACCATGCTATGTCTTATGTGTCACATGTTGTTTTAGAATTGACCTCAAGTTTTGAATTCGTAGCGTAATAGAAAGAATGGAACTGTGGAGCAAAGGAGCGCATCGTGCGCTGGTGCCAATGGACAGCCAAATGGAGAACGTATCGCCCGTAGGAGTGGAACTAGTGGAATCTGCTTCCAGCCACAGAATGTTTACTCAGATGGACGTCCTTAGGTTCATGAAAGAACACAGTGCCGATCGTGAGCTTCAGAGTGTTCCTTCACGCTCTGTTCACCAACTCGCCGCCATTAACCACGACGTCTACGCCATTACCGATCGCACCAAGCTCATCGACGCCATTAAGTGCCTTAAAACCGCCATGCTAAACGCCGTCCCTATCGTCACATCCTCTGATTCTGTCGACCAACAAGATCACAACCACCTTGTTCACGTAACTAATTTCTCTACATACATAATGAGTACGAGGTTAGCGATGGGATTGAAGTCGTGGCGTGATATGGTTGTGGTGGTTGCAGGGGAGAGGGAGGAAGCTGATAGGAACATTTTTTGCGACTGATTTGAGAGGATGTTACGTGGTGACATTGAAGTCGTGGTTGGGTATGAGTGCGCGTGCTTTCACTGAGGAGGTTGGGACGAACCCACTCTACTCGCCCAACAACAACGCTGCTGCCACGTGGAAGAGGGAGCTGGTGACGTGTCAAGCTGAGTCGCCATTGTCTGAGGTGATAGAGAAGGCAGTGGGTAAGCACGTGCACAGGGTGTGGGCGGTGGATCAGGATGGTTTGCTAGTGGGGCTTGTGTCTCTCACTGATGTTATTCGAGTAATAAGGCTTTCTCTTGTATCAGATTGATCACACCAACACCATCATCATCCGGTGTGAGAGACACACACTCACACACACAATGTAAGTGTTACGTAATGTTGCACGACATGCGATAGAGTCTAGTATGTAACATACTAATTGATAGACATATGTGGTCATTTTTCCAATGCTAGTATTTTGTGTTTTCTTATTATAACACTATTCCTATAAGCAAACGGACCATTTTGTGCATGCCTTCAACGGCATCACTGGATGACCTCCCTGCATGTGGTTCACGGGATGGATCGGGACCGGGACAGGCCCGTCCCGGTTCCGTCCCGATGAACAGTAACAGGACAGATTTTCTGTCCCGTGTCCCGACCCGTCCCGGGGTTGTCCCGGTCGAGACGGGACCGGGACGTCCCGAATCTTTTTTTTATTTAATTTTTTTAATTTTTTTAATTTTTAAATTTTTTAATAAAATCTGATTTTTTTAATTATATTTTTTTGGGCTTAAACCTTATAAAAACATCTTTTTATTTTTTTTTATTTGTTTGGACACTCTTAAACAAAAGCTCAAAATATTACATATAATAATCATTAAAAACTATAAACAAAAGCTTTTAACACAATAAAAACTTGCTAAAAATTCTAATAATTAATAATCTCAAATCATTAACAAATATAAAAAATTTAAATAAATATATCCATAGTTCCATACAATAGTCTCAAATCTTAAAAAAATATGAGAAAAATGAGATTATGTAAATAGGATAAAAAAATTAAAAAAAAAAGGAACTGGGACAGGACGACCTCGTCCCGTGTCCCGTCCCGTCCCAGTCCCTTTTTTGTCCCGTCCCGAAAAATTTCAAGACGGATCCGTCCTGTCCCAATAATACCGGGACCAGAACGGGCCTACTGGAATGGGCCGGCCTTCAACATCCCTAGTTAACTTACAGTGGATTGATAAGAGAAGGGTCGACTTGTCACTTGATGATCAGTACGGTCACCCATTAATTCATACCAGATATATAGTGCTTGTTTGGGTTAGCCTTTTTTGGCCCAAAAGTAACTTATTTTTACATTAACCTTGATTGGAAAATCATGGGCTATTTAAGAGAGCTGTTACGTTGAGGGATCTGATATGGGACCAAAAGGCAGATATAGATGTACATTTTGGATAAGCTAATCTGAGAAGCTTATTCAAACTGAAACTGAGCTTATGGACCGTTAGAGAATTAACTAATATGTCAAATTGGTTGTTAATTCCTCACTTCTCCTCATTATTCTCGCATAATTCTCCCATTCCCATTTCTTCATTCCTCCTCCTCGTTATTTTTTTTATCATATTTCACTTTATATTTATAACATTTTTTTATGATTTCTCTAAAGTTTTTAAATTTGATTCACTCATTAAGTTTCACTTCTTCATATTAAATTAATTTAAATTCATTGTATTATGTAAATTTTTTTTTCATGTTTCATTATTTATTAAAGTTCATACCTATTTTGGTAATTTTACAAATAAACTTACTTTTATTCAATCATAATCCAAACAACCTTTTACTAATCTAACTTTTACAAACCAACTTTTTTAAACTTCAATCCAAATACAACTCACTTTACTCAATTTAATTTTTATCTAATCTTACTTTTCTAAAAGTCAGATTAGAAATAAGCTACTTTTTTTACTGCCAATCTAAGGAGACTATTAATGGGTACGTTTGGAATGACAGCAAAAAAAGTAACTTATTTTAAAAGTTAGATTGGGTAAAATGTAGATTGGGTAATTTGATTTATATTGAATTGACTTTTATAAAAGTTAATTTGTAAAGTAGAAAAATTGTTTAAATTATAATTGGATAAACAAGTTTAGTTTGTAGAATAATCAAATGAGTATGACTTTTATTAAATAATACTCCTCCGGTCCTTAATATAATACCTATTTAACTAATTTGATTAGATTAAGGAAGTTAGGTAAGTTGGTTAATTATAAGAAAAGTGACACATTTTTCCTAAAACACCATAATCATCTTTCTTAATACCTCATCTCACTCTTCTATTTGATTATGGTTGAGGGAGTATCCATAGGGGTAGTTTAGAGAAAATTGATAAATATGAGAAATGGGTCTCATATTTAGGACCAAACCCAACTCAATAATTGGGTCCTATATTAAGGACCAGAGGAGTAAAAATGATTAAAAACATGAATTTACAAAATATAATAATTTTAAATTATTATAATAGGAAGAAGTTATATTTAATGAATAAAATATATTTACATTAGAGAAATAATAGAAGTGTGAAAATTTTTTAACCAAATAATATGACATAATTAATTGGAGGATATATTCTATGCAATTTATGCAGATATCAAATAAAAAATAATATTAAAAATATTATAAAATTTTTTGTTAATTATTTTTAATTTAAAAGAGCATTAAAAATAAATAAGTAAAAATTGTTCGGGAAAACACAAGGAATATGCAAAAGAGAAGAATGGGACAACATAAATATAAGGGTAAAAATAGCTTTTAATTTTTAAAAGTTACTTTTGTATAAACAAGATAAGGTATAAGCCATAAAAAATAACTTTAAAAGTTACTTTTGCATAAACAAAATAAGGCATAAGTCATAAAAATTAACTTATGACTAAAGTAGTTTTTTTTTTTTTTAGGCAAAACGACTTATAGCAAAAAATAATGCTAAACATGATAATATAATTCAATCCAACTTTTGCTCACTAAAAGCTACTTTTATCCCCTCCAATCCCTCAGGCAAACAGACGCAATGTCTCCAAACTGAAATAAACGGCTTTTTTATCCAGACACGACAAACAGTAAAAATATTTACTCAGATGTTATGAGATCAAAAATATTTACTCAGATACTACACTTGAAATCGTTCAGACAGTGAACGAGTTTAAATTTGTACAGAAGTTGTTTAGGCCAAAAACGACTTCAGTGGGACCCACATCCAAAATATGAAAGTTGTTCTTGGTCTGAACAACTTCAGTGGGACCCACATCACAAAATGAAAGTTGTTCTTGGTCTGAACAACTTCAGTGGGACCCACTATTTGTCTTACACTCCATGCGTTTTCAGCTTTCATATTTTGACCAGACTATTTCTGCCTTTTCCAGCCCCACGCAAAGTGTTCCTTCCTTCCCCAAATATTCCCATCAATATAGAGTAGTCATTCCTTGTCTCTCATGCGTGAGTACTTTGTTTTTGCATGTGAGTGTATAGTATGAATTCTACTTATATAAGGCATTCGGCATTCTTTTTATTTAATTATTCCAAAATTATAACTAAAATTCTAAAATTATAAATAGAATATTATTATTATTTATTTAATATTATTTATATTTAATTAATTCTATTTAATTAATATTAATTAGATATTAATATAGATTTATTAAAAATAAATAGTATATTGAGGAAATTTCTAGATTTCACATCTAATTGAATTGTAGAAATATGATAATCTCCTCCAAGAATTTTTAGAAAAAAATCCGTCAGATTCACATTTTATTTGATCCTTAGTTTCTAGTCGAAAGCTAATAATGTATTCCCACTCATCATAAGCCTTCTCCTCACTTAACGGAGTGAAAGGGGCTTTTGTTTTGCATGTTTTGGGTTTTGCAATCAGACCCAGCTTTGTGTTACTTAGGGAATTTTTAGCAAAACGCTGCAAACAGGGAAAAAAAATTCTTCAAATACTACATAGTGGGAATTATTTCCCCAAATACTACACTCAAAGTTGTTCTTAGCTTAAACAACTTTAAAAGTTCATCTTAATAAGAGCAATTTCTTCAATAAACATTGGTTCCCATGCAGCTGAACTTCATCTTGGCTTGAACAACGTTTAAAATTCATCTCAGTAAGAGCAATTCCTCCAATAAACCTTGTCTTCCGTCTAGCTGAAATTCATCTTGGTGTGAACAACTTTTAAATTTCACTAGCATCTGAACAACTTCTTCACAATCTCTCACCACATAAATATTCCTACAAGGATGTTAATAATGGTCATATCATTAGAATAATGAGTTAATAATTATATAATGATAATAGTAATAATTAATATTATATTAATTAAAAAGTGATTAAAGAAAATAAGTAATGATTAAATGTTATAAAATTAATAACAAATAACAATTAAATTGACATGAACAAAAATAAGAATTAATTTACCTCACAAATAATGACTCCCCGTGCCACATCTTGGTCTCCTCCGCGCACGCTGTGGCCGTTGTTGTATATTTACTTCTTGAGTTTGATCTAATGTCTCATTTGTCTGCGTAGTTGACGTATTTAAATCAAACCAAGGTGATTCGGCTAAAGAAATTGATTGTCGAGGGGTGACAAATGCTTCATTTGATGGACCACCTTGCTCAAAAGAAGAAGTGTTATATTGATCGATAAATAATGCAGGATCATCAAATAAGGACATGAATGACTGAAATTGAGGAGGATTGGGTGAGTCAGAATGGGATAATGTTGATGATGATGGCATGTGATGAGGGTAAAAATGAGTTGGATTGGAAGAGGTGATAGGGCTTGATGAGACTGGTATGTTATCAAAATGACTAAAATTTTGAGGCTCTTGTTCACTTAAATTTTCATTTACAATTGGTGGCTGAGTAGACAAGTAACCGCCTCGCCGTTTGCTTGGTCTATCTCGAGGAATTTGTGGACGGGGTAGCTCAACTGGTGGTGGAGCTGGTTGAGAATTCATATTAAACCGTTGTTCTCTAACTGCAAGTAAGATGTTACGCTGGTCTCGAGCAACTCTTTCTCGATAATCAATGCAATCAGAGCATGTTGAACGAGAATTAATTGTTAGCCTATATAACTGTTCTGCTATGTCAGCCTGAAATAAATAAAACATTAGGTTTGAAAAAATTTTCGTATAAAAGAAAATGATGATATTGATCAGAAAAAACTAAAAAAAACCTTACCACATAGCCAGTATCACCACTAACACGTTGGATCCATCGTCTTGTATGTCTCCAATACCATTGCATGTACTCAGATGTTCGATCAAGTTCACCAAGTGCCAGAGGAGCATCAACAACAGCATGTGGCCATCTATTCCATGCTTCAATGAAGTTTGAGTATTCTTCAGTCCAATTTGTGCTTATTCTGCCACGTAGTTGTATTGTATGGTAATTTCCTAAATGAACAGGCATGACAGGAATAGGTTGTTGACGACCGAATTGCCTTAGTACACGATCAGGGTGATGCCATTCTATAATATGAAAACATATTAGAGGAACTGAAGCAAGCCAAATTTCAGGTGTTGCCAAGCAGTATTCTGGAATCAATTGGCGCACTTCAGAAGATTCATATGGCTGCCAAATTATGTCATCATCGGTCATTCTATCAAGAAGACTCCTATATTGGCGTAAGGATGTGACACTTGGACGAGGATTTTGTCCTACATTTTTCCATCTAGCATTATCAACAACCCAAAAAAGTAGTGTTAAAATTTGTAAAATTTCAATAATAAGTACATATGAAATATTTGTTGTGTGATTTTGGCATACCTGAAACCCAAAGGAGGTAAGAGAGGGTAGATATTAGACTGTGGATCTGGAGATACAGGTTGTTGTGGTGCTAGCGTAGGAAAACGATCCCATGCCCATAAATGTAATAATGATAAGCACCCTCCAATCCCATCTTCAGTTGGATTAGTAGCATTACATAATTCTCTATACAGGTGAGCTAAAACTGCTGAACCCCAACTAAAATTTCCAACTTCTTCCAGATTATAAAGTAGTGGAAGGTACATCAAATACACCCTAGTACACGATCTATCTGGCATGAGATATCCTCCAATCAACCTGAGAATATATGCACGAGTGAATTGTTGAACTTGTACATCGTCTGCATCATCAGGTAAGTGATTAAAGTGCTCTTCCAACCAATTCATAAGTAGTCGTTGTCCAAGTATTCTATCTGCAGGTGGTCTAACCCCTAGAAGCCATTCACAAACATCTTGCCAATTAAAGTCAGTTTTCCCAATGACAGGCATTCCTACACAAGGAAGGCCTAACTGTATAGCAACATCCTCTAATGTTATTGTGCACTCTCCACGTGTAGTATGAAATGTGTGAGTCTCAGGACGCCACCTCTCAACAAGGGCTGAGACCAAACTCCGGTCGTAATCAAATTGCCCTACCCTCGCAACACCATAAAATCCAGCTAATCTAAGATATTCAAGTATCTGATTGGGTGGCTCAATCATTCGATTAGCATGCATGACTCGTCTAGTGTGTAGGATTCGAGAAACCTATAGAGAAAATTTTTAAAAAAAGTTAGTATTAAAGCATAGAATTAATAAGTAGTAGTTAAGAGAGATTACTTACATTTTCATTCCAAACTTGTTGCGAAATATGTTGAGTTTGTAAGTACAGAAGTGAGTTATCCTCTGGACCAGGGTTAATGACTTCTTCTGGATATTGTGCCATTTTCAAATATCTAAACACAACATAACAAATAAATATTCACATAATATAAAAAATTACAAAAACCATTTACATTTCATCTTCATATGTATAATTTTCTTTTTACATAAGCAAAATACATAATTTATTGTCTGGATGCCACACTTTGAGGACAAGTAGAGCGATTATGACCAATTTGTCTACATAATCCACATTTGTTGGGTGGGTTAGGTGTGGTCCAATCCATCTCATTACGTATGCGACTTGAACGAGGACGGCCTTTATCTCTAATCATTGATGGATCAGGTATTAGAGTAGGGCAATCAATTTGCGGCCAGTAAGTCTCATCTCCTATTGGATGAAAGTTGTTACTGTAAGCCATTTGCATGGTTTCTAACCTAAAAACAGGATCAACATATTGCAAATGGTTAATGCCTACTTGTGAGCAAGCTGCAACAGCATGCATACATGGAAACTTTTCTGCTTGAAATTCTCCACAATCACATTTTCTATCAATCAAGTTAACCTTGCAACAACGACGAAATTGACGAAGTTGAATATTGTATGGCTCCATAACCTCAAATGATGTTGATATTCTATCAAACTCTCGAACAACACATCCAGATGCACCTTGTGTTACTATGTCTAACTTCTTTGTTAGTGTCTCAGAAAACACTTGACCAGCTGCAATTTGCGCATGAACTTGTTGGGCACGCTTTACAAAATAGTTGTTAACTCTATACATGGTCGCTTTAACTAAACCAGTTATGGGTAGACTTCGAACACCTTTGAATACACCATTCATGCACTCTGCAAGGTTAGTTGTCATGTGTCCATAACGTCGACCTTCAACGTCATATGCACGTGACCATTTTTCTTTGGGGATGGCTCCAATCCATCTAGCAGCAGATGCATGTTGCAATACTATCTCTGCTAATTGTTGGTCAACAACATGACGTTCATACGCATACCCTACAAGTAATTATTAACTTGTTAAAAATAATCATAAAATTATAAAGTTATTGTATCATTAAAAAACACAAGAAATCTCACCAATATTTATAAATTTCTCTTTTAGCCAATTTGTTCCATGTGCTTTGTGAAGATTAGAGGCCACATGACGTAGACAAAAAACATGATGTGCATGTGGTGGCTGCCATCCATGTTGAGGATCAGAAACTGCAGCCAAAATTGAACGATGTCTGTCTGAAATTAAACAAATTTCTATTCTATCTTTTACAATACAATGACGCACATGGTATAAGAACCATGTCCAAGCTGATCTTGTCTCCCCTTCAACTACCGCAAATGCAAGCGGCACAACATTTCTGTCACCATCTTGTGATATAGCCATTAGTAACGTGCCCTTATACTTTCCATATAAAAATGTTCCATCAACTTGTATAATGGGCTTCAAATGTGGAAAGGCATCAATGCATGGCTTGAATGCCCAAAACACACGGCGAAACATTTCAACTGGTTCCCCATTCGCATTGACTTGAGAGCACTGTTTATTTGAAAATTGTACGTATGATCCAGGCATGAAGTGTTGTACTGCGGCCAACCACCTTGGGAGTAAGGAATATGAGATCTCCCAATTCCCGAAAGCAACGGCAATGGCTAATTGTTTTGCATTCCAAGCCTTCTTATATGACACTATATAACCAAACATGGATTGCATCCTCTCTATAATTTGAGATACTTTCACATCTGGCTTATCAGTTACCATTGCTATGATACAAGATGATATAACATCAGCATCTAACTTTGGATGGTCTTGAGTTAGTGATGTGCTTAAGCATGTGTGGGGCCCCCCATATTTTGTAATTTGCCAAAAGTTTCTGTTTTCCTTCTTACAAGCTCTTACTCTCCAATTGCAGCTTTCACCATAGTTAATGCATCGATATTCTTCATACTTGTTACATGAATAATAGACCTTGAATGTGTGATGAACTCGAACAGAGTATAACTTGACCGCACGTCTCAAAACACGAACATTGCTAAACATCTTTCCGATATGTAACTCTTCATTTTGACTGAAAGGTGGAATTTCTTCTAATTCACTGAACTCAGGAGCCATAGCTGACTCAACATTAATATGCGAGAAGAAAGCAGATGCTAGCTCATTATCCTGGTTGATCTCGTCATGCTCATCATTGTCATCATGATCATTCCCATCACCAATATTTAAATAAGAATCATATTGATCTTCGTCCTCAAATTCATCCATAGTATCTTCCATTTGAGGAACAGAGCAAGATGGCCCATTGTTGATACCATCTTGGGGAAGTTCAAATGGGTGAAGATTTTCCATCTGATCGCTAAACATGGATTCTTCTTCTATAATGTTCAACTGATTGCTACTTGATGGAAGAGTATTTCCAGCATTTTTGTCCATTAGTTGTGATTCAATATGACCAACATCTTCCAAGTCACCTATATTGGCATACAACTCTGCACATGTTAACTGAGTTGAGAATCGACGGTTCACTTGCCACATTTGTTGTACATCCGAATCATCTTCTAGATTGCATGCTTGATATTGTGGTGGATTTATGCACGTAGGATATCTGTACACTAGATTTGTCACAATTTCATTGGGAGGAAGTTGTAGTTTTCGTCCAATAACTTCCTTCAATCTATCCAATGTAATATTTGGATCAACTTTCACTACTTTCGCTCTATCACACTCAAATGTTGCACCGACCGGGCCATTAAAAATTCGTCCATTGGCAAATATACACACAAACTCTTTTCTATGATCCATTCTGCTTCCTAAATAATACAGTATAATTATTAATTAAACAAAAATGAATTGTAAAACTAAATTAACTCCATAATATCATTATTTTTTAATTCAATTATGTATATATTTTTTAAAATAAAGTAGTAGAATAATCATTTATTTATAGTTACAAAAATTAGGCTATTTATTAAGAAACTTATTTACATTTTTAAGTAAGATAGTAACCTGTAATATCTTTTAATCAACAACGACTGTGGAACATCAATCATAAAAAATATTTAGAATAACTTAAAAATTAATTTCAATTAAAAATAAACGTTACATATTAAAATTTTATTATAAATTCTAATATATCAATATAAAATTAATAATATAAATTACATATTTCAAATATATTAAATAAATAATTTTCTATTCATTCCATTTTATTCAAAAAAAATATTATAATTAAATATTATTAAAAAATTAGCTAAAATCATTACTTCTGTTTTATTATCAAAAAGGATCTTAAAAACTATAAATATTTAGAAGGATTAAATATATTTAAAAACATTAAATTCTCCCACAACTACATTCCTAAATTTTTTCTAACTTATGTTCCATTATTGGATATTTTTAATGACTAAATTAGATAAATATTTGATTAAATAAATTAATTTGAAAATATTTCTTATTCAAAAAAATTGCCTCTGCTTCATTTTTCTCCTGGTCCCAACTTCATACTTCAAATGTTCAATTTTAATTTATCTATATTATTAAAGAATAATTATATTCCTTTCAACCTCTAATTTCTATATTGCGAATAAATGCTTTTGATGAGATATATACTTTAGTTAACACATAAAGGTAAATTTACATTAAATAATAATAAGCTTATAATAAATGTACTTGTGTAATTTTATATTAGGTACCGTTTAAGTGACCCCAAAAAAACATCCTTATGATTGAAAACAAAAATAAATGTTAATAACTATTTCACACTAGTTATTTAAAAATTATAATTACTTAATATGACGAAACAATTAGCTATTACTGTTGAGTGATTTTTTTAAATTTATAGTTTATTATTTGGTCTGCCTAAATAATTATAATTTTTAAGATCCTCTTTAATAAATATTGCTTTCTCTAGGTCCTCCTCTCTAATTTTTCCAAAAAAAAAAAAAAACTCCTTTCTTTCATTATTATTAACCCCACCATCAGTACTCTTTTTATTAGGAAAATTTTGACACCATTTAGTGCTAGCTTTCATTGGCTAGATACAAGACTAGACTAAGCTCACAACCAGGGTTGTCAAACTCACGAGTTTAAGTAAACTCGTGACAGGTATGTAAACTCGAATTTATGAAATTCATACATGAAGTCACTATGCATAATCAAATAATAAAATAATTATAAATTTAATAAAAATTATAACTTGGACCACTGATTTGGATTTTCAATATTTTAAAGGTTTTTATAGTTAAATAATTTAACTGTCTTCTACGCATGCTTTGATATAAATTTTACGTAATTTTAACAAAAATAATTTTATCATTGTATATTAAAATTTTATGAGTGGGGAATATTATTCCATCAATTTTTCTTTAAATATTCAAGTATTTTTCATGACGTATTGACTGGCATAGGAGAAGTTTGATTACCATGCTCACAACCAAATATTATCTAACTAAATACATATTTAATTTGACTACATATTTACTCAAACACTATCTACTAAAAAAAAAGATATATATTTAATCAGATTATAAAAAAGTAAACTGTAATTTATTTTATATGACAATTAATTATATGCCTACATTTTTTTAATTAAAACAAACTCAACATGTAAAAATGACTAAATATAAAATTCTTATCCATCATTTAGCAAAATACATATCAAAATTTAAAAAAAAATTAATCAAGAGAATGTACCTTAATCAGAAGAAAAATTAAGCCTCAAGTTGAGATAAAACGTATGCAATATTTGCAAGGCCACACACACCACCAACTTCACGTGAAATTGTGGAAAGAGAAAGAAGAACTGAAGGACCTGCAGATAAAATTCAATTCTTCACGCGAAATGCCTTATATATAGAGAAAGAAGAATTGAATTGTATGAAGAATTGAAGTTGAGATAAAACGTATTTACCTACTTCACGGGAATGCCTTACACATAGAGAAAGAAGAATGTGAGAAGTGAAGAGAAGCCTTCTGATGAGTGGGAATGGCGAATACCTTATATAAATAGAATTCATACTATACACTCACATGCAAAAACAAAGTATTCACGCGTGAGAGA